AGGGAAAAAATAGAAATAAGGAGATTTTTTTTGTCTTTTATATTGGTCATTAAACGCTCGAAATCGGCAGTGACTGTTTCCACAGGGGTCCGCATATTCCAACCATCAGTGCAGATTCAAACATTTCACTTATACTGCATTCTTCGTTTGCAGAAGGTATTAAGGTTTAATTAAGTTTTCCTGTGGTAATAATTGCTCAATTGCTCCTTTTGCTCCTCAGAGGTTAGTATAAGGAAACTTTACTTTCCAAGTCTGTTCTACCTCACTTGAAATTATGCTTCTAGAGCTGATACCGAGGTATTCCAGCAACAAAATACTTTTTTATTAATACTTTTTTTACTTACATGGAAATAGGCAACATAATCTTACTAAATAGAAGAAAAAGTCAGGAAAAATGTCTAGACAGGTCATATTACTGAAGAGAGTACAAGAAGCACTGGGCCAGGAGAAAAATAATCAAACTAAACAACAACAAAAATGCTTGATATTAAAATTTCATTTACAATTGTACATTAGTTTCCAAACAAGAGTTATTTTTCCATAGGGGGTAGGTAAGGTAGGAACATTTGGACCAGTTGTGATAATTGATTGACTGATTGATTTTTTCGTTCACTAATATTAAGGGGATTAGATAAACAATAAGTAAAACATAGTCACTGAAGCACAATGTGGGAAAATAACGGCTAAAATAACCTATTGTCAGATGATGTCAAGTACTGAACAGAACACTACTTCTAACACATGATATTCGGAGACAAATGCTCTACTCTAAGTGTGAAAAAAATCAAATTGGTTATAGTTTTACTTCACTGAAAAATACAACCGGAAATCTGTCTACATTCTCAGGCTAAAGCTTCCAGTGATAAATCAAATCGAAGGCTATGCCTGTTCTAACACATTACTTTTTGTTTCTCTTCTAAACTCCTTTTTGTGAGCAGTTTCACAAAAATGATGCCTAGGTATAAATCCTCATGACATTGTCAATAACAAAAAAAAAGTAAATGTTCTGAGTTATGTTCTGGATGTTTTGATCGAATGATGATGTGGAGGCCAAGAGAAAAAGTAGTAATGAGAGGCCTGCCAGTGTACTCTTGAATTCTGTTTATATGTAAGACATGTAAGCCTGGAAACGTCATTGCTCTAAGTAGTGTTAATCCTGTTGGTAGTAGAGAAAATGATTAGCATAACCGTTACAACTTTCTAGTCCATACTACGGAAAACCTGTTTTATATACAGTTAGATAGACTGTTTAGTTACTATTAGTGAAAAAGTAAGCGAGTAAAGGATGCAGTGTCTACATGTATGCACCAGTCAAATGTACCCCCGGCCGTTCGACCTCCGGGGCATAGCGGGGGTAGGGGGCATTTAACGCGGCCAATGCCGGGATTTAACCCACATTTAACAACGAGCTGGCCCCGGGTGCGGTGGAATTAACAAAATGCCTCTTTGACCCAGGTCATGAGTGGGGATTTAACAGCCCATATGCATTTTCAGAAGCAGTGAGAGAAGCAGGGATTTAGCATAAGTGACTAAAGAGGAGCCTCTTTTCCCAAGGGGAGATGATGCTGCCGAGAATGACATTAAAAGCATCCAAGAAACAGGACAGGAAGGCACATACTAGGTCGCTCTAGTCTCAGACACAGCTGAAAGGGATAAAGCAAAATTAGAATATAAAAGCAAGGAGTTGCCGTTACTCAACAACAGAACGCCTAGAATGAAGTTGATCGTCAGGACTAGACAATTAGCAAAGAAACCAAGTGTCCACTCCTAAAACCTAAAAGTGCACTGCGAGACAACACAAAGTAAACTTTGGAACAGATGGAAGCAGAAGATGGATACCCTAAACTTATTTTTTTTTCTGGGGGAACCCCCAGACCCCCCCTAGGTTGCGTTGTTTTTTTCTCCGCGTGCGTACTGTACACCCTCAAAATCTCTCGCTACGCCCCTGCGAAAGTGAAATACATACACATGCAGGCTTGATAGTGCGGTTTAAAATTACCGTGTTGGTGTCTTGTTTCAAATGTTAACTTTCCCTACATATAACTTAACTTTCAGAAGGCGTACAAAAAATATAAAAGGGCTGAACAAAAAATTAGTCACATTAAACTTTTGGGGTATGCCGAAAACACTGACCCCCAGTCCATGGAAACCCCACCCCCCACATACAGAGAAAATAATAAAAATGACAATTAGAGATTTGACTTACCCTTTGTTTCGCTTTGGTTTTTGTTATTGTTTCCTCCTTCACTGTGGCGATGAAAGGAGGACCTGCGTACTACGAAAACGACCGGAAACTTAGCTAACTTGTGTATTCGTTACCGACCTCCGATTGCCCTCGCAATTTTGTTCGGCTCATTCCTCCTCGCCTTCAGTGACTCGTCCCAGACTTCAAACCTACGACACAGTATCATCCCTGTTTTTTGTGCAAACGATTCCTAAAAAAATTCAACTGCACTAGGATTCACCCATCTTTCATTTTTCTCAAATCATTGGACTCAAATTATTGTGATGAAGTGTGAAGGAACGCAAGGTAGATTTTAAATGACATTTTCGCTGCCGTTGCCATCCTGTATCTTGAATTCTTCAACACAAAAGAGTTTTCAAAAAGCTCTTTCGACGAAAATGAGATGCAATGTACCTAATACGGAAAAAGTTCTTGCCTTCCTTATTTTTAAGCTCCATGTTAATACTTTGTCCAACTCAATGCTCTAATAGTGATGTCCACTTAACAGTTGGCTACTTTCTTCCCAAGTCTTTGTATAGGAGTGAGGCTGACGGTGACCTGGCTATACGAAACCTGCCGCCTTTGATGTGTGGATTATTCTGTCTGCGGTATTCAGTTCCCCCTCTATCAATCATAACAAAGTCACCCTGTTGAAAGATTTGGCAACTAAACACATAACTATCAAATAAAATAAGGGGGATCGCTAGCTAATGGCAATCGGCATCTTTCTTTGTCGAAGGAGCACTATTTTGTGAAGCATGGGACGAGTCAATGAACACGAACAAAATGGCGGAGGCAATCGGTGGGAGCGAATGCTCAAGGGAAAACACGAGTTAGCTAAGTCTTTTTCGCAGGTCCTCATTTCATCGCCACAAAACAAAACAAACGGTAAGTCAAATCTCTAATTGTCATTTTTGTTATTGTCTTTTTGTGGGGGGTCCGTAAAGGAGTGGGGGGGGGGGGGGGGGCCTTTGACCGGGGTCGGGGGGGGGGCCCTGGGCGGGGGGGGCGGGTTTTTTGGTTCCCCAAAATTTTTGTTTTTTCCCGCCAGGGTTTTTTGGGGCGTATCCACGGGAAACCCGACCCCTTTT